GGGGTGATGGGGGGTGGGGCCAGCCACTCGCTGGCTAGCGCTATCCCCCGATCAGCCCGTGGGTCACCTCCTGCAGAGGGAGGCCAGACTGTGGCTTAGGCCCACTCCCTGAAGGGGAGTCATCAGTCTGACAACCCCCGAGGCTCCTGGTCTGCGAGAGGGCTCAGGCCAGGCTAAGGGACCCCCCCGCTTTAAGTGCACAAATTTTCGTGCACTGGGCCTCTAGTAAGTATAGATAAAAAAGGAAACAAACTTTTTAAAATATATTTTTATTGATTTCAGAGAGGAAGGGAGAGAGAGAGGAACATCAATGATGAGAGAGAATCATCGATCAGCTGCCTCCTGCATGCCTTCTACTGGGGATCAAGCCTGCAACCTGAGCTTGTGCCCTGACTGGGAATCAAACCACGACCTCCTGGTTCATGGGTCGATGCTCATCCACCAAGCCACACAACAAACACTTTAATGCAACAGCTAGTGAGTCTTAAGTTGGGCTAGTTACAGGATCATGTTGGGCATTAGTTGAATGAGCGCTGGCATATTTTTCTTCTCTGTCACTTCAATAAGAACTGAGTCTTTTCTGATGCAAGAAGATACTTTAAGGAGGACATGACCAGATGCCCTCTAAATTCCTTCTTAATCCTCAGATTCTGTGACTGAGGCTTCTTCAGTTTTGCTTAAAGTACACATATACTGAAGTCATCATCATTCCAATTCAGTAAGTTCATCACACATGTTATTTAAAGGAAATTTCATTTATAACTATAATATATAAATACAAATATTTCCCATTTCCCTTTTCTTATAGGAAATTGCTTCTTCAGAGGGTGATTATATTGGTTTTAAAGTGGTTTATCTACTCATGCTGTTTATTTTCCCACTTGACATGTTAATCTCCTCTCTATTTTGTCAGATAATCCTTTAGTTATTCCCATGGGTATAAACAAATGTTTCCAGTTATAGAAATGGCAGGAATATCCCATATTCCTGAAGACCACACAGAATTCCTGACAAGGCACAGCCCTTTGGAACTCTTAACATGAATAAATGCAAAGGCCCCGCTCAGCTGGTCAGTTCCTTTGATGACATAGGCACAGTCTGGGTACGTGGGAAATAAAAGAGCTTTGTGTGTGAACCAGTGATCAAAACTGATAATCAATCGAATGATGACTTCCCTCAGAAATGTTCACAGATACAAAGCATGAAGTTTTTGTAAACAGAGTGACAAAGCAAAACACAGGGATCAAACATAGTCTATCTTTCGTGGTCACAGACTCACTCCATTAACTAAAATTTAACAATAGCTAACGCACTTGTATGTCTCTCCGTTTTAACATGTTTTAGTCACTAGCTAGTCTTATCTTTCTTATAGGAAGAGTTACTTGTTAAAGGATTAAGGACTTTAGTTAGGAAAGAATTACAAAGCAATTACGAGGTATTAAACTCTTAGTCATTAGATTAAAGTTTATCAAGTCAAATCCTCAAATGTCACATCAATCATATCACATATATTAAGATACATAAATTAGATGCCCAGATTCTAATGCAGGCAACATTATTTTTGCCTAACTTTGTGGTGAACTTTACTAAAGGCTCCACTAGTGCCTTAAAAAATACGGAAACTTCTTGAACAGAAATCAGTTACCTGGAGAAATAAAGATACTCCAAATGCCTATTGTCAAAACTCTGGAAAAAGAGAATTTCTATCTTCAGTATTTTAAAAATGGGTATCTAAATAATTTCAGGTTAAACTAGGTTAGTAACTTCAATCTTCTCCATTGAGCTGTTAAAATGGAAAAAATTTTAAGTTCTAAATATAATAAAGACTTACGTACACATTCAAATAGAAAATGGGGATTTATTTTCTATTACACTTTTCTGGACAAAAGGAGATGAATTTTTTACTTCTTATTTCTTATAACAAACATTGTCAGATTTCTTTTAAAAAACATAAAAAAACAGAATTGTAGTTGAGAAGATTACTTCTTTATGAATGGCATAAACCAGAGTCCAGTTAAAATAACACTTAATACAGATTCGCCCTAATAGACGATGTTGTCAACTTTTACATATGAGTACTTCTCATATCACTTCTGGGTGGCCTAGACCCCTTTATCCTCAATATAACATCTTTATTTTTCTTCTCTAGAGTTTCCTTTACTTAAAATAATGGCTTGAGGAAGATTATGAGACATAGTGGCTCTGTGCTCTTTTTTAAATGTTGGGCAAACTTGGGCTGGTTGATAACAACTAACTCATTTAAATGAACTGTGTTTTCAGAGCCCTAGGCTGGCCCTGCAGTTTGAGAGACCTTGGTTCCTTTTGTAGCTAAATATAGAGTCCATTCTTCCACCAGCCCACTGCAGAGGCTGAGAAAGTCCAGGAAATAGATTACATTGAGTGCTACTGTTCAGAAGAGATTTGCATTTAATGCTGTTGTTATAGGTAAAGTATTTCCTTAAGCAAAAATCTCATTTACTCAGTGGTTAGAGGAAACACTGAATTTCATAGCCAAAGTTCCTTTTTCTGTAGAAAAGATTTTAAATCTGCTTGATCACTACCTTTCAATTCTTTTTTCTTATAGACATGCATGCTCCATGATTTAAACTTAAGTTCATTTAAAGTCAGAGAAAAAATTCAAGAGGATAAGAACAAGCACAAAGTCATAAAAAAACAAACAAAAAACAGTTTTGCCATTAAATTTTCTCCTGGATAACTTAGCAAATATTTGTCTTTTCCATTCTGTTTTAACACTGCAGACAATATATGCATGGCTCTCTGGTGAAGCAATGTGCATATAAGTGACAAAACATGGAAATGTAGATAAAACTTTTAAAATCCTAGTAATACTACAACAGCTTCTTTCCTTATTTATTCTGTCAACATCCATTCCACATGAATTCACATTTCGGTTCCAGGAGGGCATGAGCCATAAGCCCTAATCCCAAAGACCACTATCTGTGGAGGGTAAATAGAGCCTGCTGCCAGTATCTTCTGGTGGCAAACTTGTGAAAATCTTCTGGAAGACTAATAAAATCATATTCCGATTATTTGTCTTCTGGATTCGGGGGACCATAGAAATAGAAAAGGATAAAAACAAGGCATGCTTTATTTCTGAGGTTTCTTGGACTGGGAAGTAGAAAAATAGGTGTTTTCCTTTGGGGTTTTTTTTGTGGCCGAGAATGGTGAGGTTGGTATTTCTGAGAGCACTTTTTCACTTTCCTCAGTCTTTAAGGGAGTGGTAGGCTTTGGTAGTCCGGCTGTTGACAAAATCTGTCTTCTTAAACTGAGCCTTTGGAATAAGCAAACAAAAAATATGATCAATAACAACATTTGCACACACAAAACTGCAGTTCTTAGTGATTTCCCACCAGGGTCAGACAAGTGGGCCATTAGGATCTGGCTCTGCTAACTAGGACACATGCCTTTTGAGCGCTCTTACCTTCTTGTAGGCATTGTGGAGCTCCGTGTGTGTCCACAGGGCATATAAGAGAACAGAAGCGGCTTTGCTTGCCTTGTTGGAGGCAGAGCTGAAAGAAGAAAAGGACATTCCGAGATCAGTGAGAATGTGTCTGAGGCTCCTGGAGGTGGCTGTTGGACAGTTTGTAAATCTTCTTTAACTGCTGTTGCTCAGTAGCCATCCATTAAGTCAGGTTACTCACAATGACAAGAGAATCAAATGGTAAGCTTCAGGCCAGGGACCACTTTTTAGAAAGTCTCATTATTTTTTAAATATATTTTTATTGATTTCAGAGAGGAAGGAAGAAGGAGAAAGAGATAGAAACATCAATGATGAGAGAGAATCATTGATCACCTGCATCCTGCACATCCCCCACTGAGGATCTTGCCCACAACCCGGGCATGTACCCTAACCAGGAATCAAACCGTGATCTCCTGGTTCAAAGGTCGATGCTTAACCACTGAGTCATGCTGGCCAGGCTAGAAATTAATTTGAAAAAATCTTTTAAATATGTTTTTATTGATTTTTCAGGGAGAGGAAGGGAGAGAGATAGAGATAGAAACATTGATGAGAGAGAGCAACATCATTGATTGGCTGCCTCCTGCACACCCCCTACTGGGGATCGAGCCCACAACCTGGGCTTGTGCCCAAACTGAGAATCAAACTGTGACCTCCTGGTTCATAGATCAACACTCAACCACTGTGCCACTCCAGCCAGGTGAAAATTCCTTTAAAACCACTAACAGTGCTAACAAATAGTCTATAGAGCAAATTTTTGATATTTATAAGGACTATGTTACAAATCCTTAAATTTATTTATAGAATACAATTTACATTTATATATTATACTGTCATTTATAGAATATATATGTATGCTTATAATGTGTGTGCATGTATTTTTATCAGGAAAGTGTGACTGAAAAATATATATCCTTCTCTTAGACTGAGTGACTCTATAGGTAGGAATAATTTTTTCAAGTTAATAAATTCTTGTTGGAACATTTGTTAAAATAGGTTCAAAATGTCTTTGTTCTTGTGCAGAGCAAATGTCAAATGTGTTCCTGTTTTAAATCCAAGTTACCACTGAATTTGACATTGTATTTAGTTTTTGATGTTCTGCTTTTAAATTTGTCCTAAATTTCCTGTTTCTGGCTGAGGAGAAAATGCTTTCTTTGATCTTTTTCTCGTCTACCACCTGAACTTTCTTTTAACAAAGAAACATATCTTTTATCTTTCCTATCATAGGAGTTTGTAAACATGCAACCGAGAATAGAGAATGCAAAGCTGTATGGAGAAGTGCATGCTGGGCTCATTCTTCAGCTAAAAGCCTTTCTCTTCCACACCAACCGGGCAGAGAGGGTAAGGCAGATCGGCACCCTACAGAATTTTTTAGTTACCTCATGGATTTCTCAGACCAGCTTGTTTATAACTGAGATACTAATTAATCCATGAAAGCTATGGGTCCCTAATATTTAAAATTGGAAAGAGTTCAACAGCAAGTGAAGGGGAACAGAATACACCACCCTAAAATATGCCTCTCTGGCACGGGATTATTTTAGCTGATTATGTTTAAGAAACAGCAGACATAGGGAAAGCTCTGAAAACTGAGTGGAAGTTACCCTTGAAAGAGACATTTATAAGGAAAATCTCCATTTGTAAGGAGTTTCTGTACCAGAAAGTGAGGGATGACTAAATCTTTAGAAAGTTTGATCAATGGAGAAGGCAAGGAGTTAAATCTGCCTAACAACCCTTGTTTACTGTGCTTTTCCTGGGAATCCCCCTAAACTGGCCTCCCCTCTTCCCCAGCATCTTTTGTTAGAGGCTTGGGCCATTTCTAGGAGTTACTCAGTTTTCCTGGGTCTCTCCCAAGGATACAGAAGGGCTATATCAGTGGTTCTCAACCTTCCTAATGCCGCGACCCTTTAATACAGTTCCTCATGTTGTGGTGACCCCCAACCATAAAATTATTTTCGTTGCTACTTCATAACTGTAATGTTGCTACTGTTATGAATGGTAATGTAAATATCTGATATGCAGGATGTATTTTCATTGTTACAAATTGAACATAATTAAAGCATAGTGATTAATCACAAAAACAATATGTAATTATATATGTGTTTTCCGATGGTCTTAGGCGACCCCTGTGAAAGGGTCGTTCGAACCCCAAAGGGGTCTCGACCCACAGGTTGAGAACCGCTGGTCTATATGTTATCAAACTTCCTTTGTTTTTCTCTTGTTAATCTGTCTTTTTTATTGCAGGGGTGTCTCAGCCAAGAACCCAGTGATACTGTTGTAATTAAGCTAGTTATTAGTAACAGGAAAGGAGCAAAGGGAAGGCCAAATATTATAGACATATTATTTAGGCAGTTTCACCATGAAGTTAAAGCTTTATACTCCCCAGGGAGCCGCCAGTCTATTCCCTACAGATTGCTGGAGGAAGGCACTGAACAGGGGGCGAGAGAGACATGACCAGTAAAGTTTGGGTGACATTGGAAAGGTACTTGTTTGTCAGTTACACCTGGGAAAAGGTCACTGGCCAGAATGGGCGTGGCCACTGCAAGCACAGGAACATTTAATCCCCTAAACAAAAGAGTTAGCTCTCTTGTTTTTTCTTGGTTTCTCTTATGCTCTTAGCGTGCTGTGCTCTTGATTGACTCCCAGTTTGGGGGCTCTCACACTCCTGCTTCCTGCATTCACCCACATGACCACCCCTACACACAATGGACTAATGGACTATATAACTAACCTGCTGCTGAACTGGACCCGGCTGCAATTTGGAATGGAAACTGTGGACACTGACTTTGCTTTTAGCTCTACTGAAGCCCCAGCTGCACTTCTTCAAGAACTGGATTAAGGGAAATGGGACTTTGGAAACCAAGGGATGTAATTCAACGCAAATAAAAATCACTCATCCTCCCGTGTGAGTCTCAAAAAATTATTTTTCTTGCGATATCATAAGGACTCCATCCCCAATACCTCAATTCCCCCGATAACACTAGAAGGGTAGAGAAAAAAGTATTTTTCCTCCCCTTCGCAAGGGTGTTATATTTATAAAATTTGTTTATAAGTTGGCTGTTGACACTTGGGAACTCATTTATTCAAAGATAAAATGATATACATGATAATTGGTCCCCAGGCTAGCCCGTGTGAAAGGATTTCAACCTAGAATGAAACCAGAGGATATGAAATAGAGAATGTCACGCATGCCCCCTCAGAAGAAGAGAACTTATGAACTGAGAGACTGACTCCCTGTAAATGTCTGACTAAAGAAGGCTGAGACTCCCCGGAAGCTTGCTGCAGCATGGGTTACCACACTGTCATTTCTCTGCTACTCCTGAATGAGCTCAAATTCTGGGAACCTGAGCTTGCCTCAGTTAATGTCTTCATTTAAATTGATGCCATAAATTACAGGTCAGCTGTACAACACTTTAGCAAGCAAGGAGCATCAGGCACAGACGGTAGAAATTCCTTGTTGACTTTTTCTCTTTTCTTTTTTTAGACAGGGCATGTGAGGACTGGCTCACAAATGGACACTTGGGGCAACAAAGAAATAACAGATTAGCTCCTCCATATGTTGCTAAGCTACAAGAAGTACCCAAAAGTGATGGTGTTAAGCAGAGGTAGTTAGCTAGTTATTAATAAAGAGAGGGACCAAAGGGGATTCAGACATTGAGCTTAATAAACTAGGGAGCTGAATCAAATATTAAGCTTAATAAACTGGGAAGCGAATCACACATTGGGCCTGCTTCACTAGGAAGTTACAGCATCCCATTAAGCTGGATTTACCAGGAGGCTATAGCATTAAATTCATGTACACACTCCAGGGTATCGTGGAGGAGACTTAACCCTCCAAGCAGCCAGGAAAATCTTCCAGTGGGGTGCTGCCTGATGATACCAGATTATGGGACAGAGGAGGAGAGAAAACTCCTCTGCTCAGCACATGCACAGTAGAAACCAGATGACACAACAGAATTCTTAGAAGTCAACATGGCACAGGGGAGGAGCTTCTACTTGAAGCATGTGAACTAAAAGCCAAAAGGTGATATAAAGAGGCAGAGCCTAGCCTGGAAAAATCTGGGAAAAGAATCAGGTTGGATTGGGGGCATGAAACCCTGGTAGGTCCAGGAAAGGGATTGGTTAAGGGCAGGGCCCAATGACAGCCCAGGAGAAATCAGGAAGTGGGTTAGATGGTTTGAGGGACACCTTGCCCGTTATGGAGAACCAAGAAAAAACATGGAGGATTGTCAGAAGTTTCAAGGAAGTTGCTGCTAGAGCCTGCCCACCCCCTACATCCCCGAGGGTGTATTATTTCTCTTCACCCCAATAAAAATCTTACCACTACATTTAAACTTCTCCATGCATGAGCCCTTTGAAATTTCTTTCTTGAGACACTACAAAAGAGCCCACTTTCACCAGCAACAATAGTGTGTACTCCAATGTGCCTGTTATGTCTGAGTACTCAAATAAGTAAAATCATGCAGTCTTTTGGAAATTTGCTTAGAAGTTTGGATGACTACTGCAAATAGTCATTTCTGTTTTGCAGCAATAATTCACTTTTTCCCCCACAAAGACAGACCAACTGCTATTTGCCAGGCTCTGGGAACAGGTGAATATTCCCTGCTCTTAGGAACTGACCTTCTAACCAGTGCTCCTTTTAATCGTGTGGCTCTGATTCTGAATGGGGTCTGCCCTCCCATGAACTTTGCCAGAGGGGGGCTCAAAGCACAAGGGGTTTATACTGGGTGGGGCTGTGGTAGAGGACACAGGTGATCACCCAGGATGCCACAGACCCCTCTGCTCACCCTTGTGTGGCCAAGCACATGCTTGTCCATTATAGAGGAAGTCCATTTGCTTTGCAACTCATTAGAACTGGGCTATAACATTTCTCTCTTTTTTAGTTATTTACAAAAGTAAGTTGTCTTTAACAAGTCAAACATTTCAGAATTGTATAAAGAGAAAAAGATAATAATCTTCATGCCCCCTTTAGATCCTATCACTCTAAATTAAGTAATATTAATAATTTGATTATACCAGGTTTTTCATTCTCTTCCTTCCTTTTTATTTTATTACTAGAGGCCTGGTCCACGAGATTCGTGCACTTGCGGGGAGCAGGGGGGGGCGGGGGCATCCGCTCAGCCCAGCCTGTGCCCTCTCACAGTCCAGGAGTCCTTGGGGGATGTCTGACTGTAGGCCCATGGGGAGCGGGCCTAAGCCATCAGTCAGACATCCTTAGTGCTGCCATAGAGGCGGGAGAGGCTCCTGCCACCGCTGCTGCGCTCGCCAGCTGTGAGCCCTGTGGGAGTGCACTGACCATCAGAGGGCAGCTCCTGCGTTGAGTCAGTGCACGTCATAGCGACCGGCTGTTCTGCCGTTCTGTCGATTTGCATATTAGCCTTTTATTATATAGGACTAGAGGCCCGGTGTACGAATTTGTGCACAGGTGAGGTCCCTTGGCCTGGCTGGCAATCAGGGCCGATTGGGGCTGTCTTGCCCAGTCCTGATTAGGCCGATCGGAGCCAGCCAGCCAGGGGGAGGGACTGTGGGAGGTTGGCCAGCGGCAGGAAGTTGGCTGTGGGATCGCACTGACCACCAGGGGGCAGTTCCTGCATTGAGCGTCTGCCCCCTGGTGGTCATTACATCGTCATAGTGACCAGCCGGTCGACCGGTGGTCCGGTTGTAACGGTCACTTAGGCTTTTATATATATAGTTATTTTAAATCCTTATCCGAGGATATGTTTTTATTGATTTTTTAGAGAGAGAGAGAAAGGGAAAGAGAAACATCGATGTGAGAGAGAAACATCGACTGGCGGCCTCCCATACTTGCCCCAACAGGGGACTGAATCCACAATCCAGGTATGTGCCTTGGCTGAGAATCGAACTCGCAACCTTTTGGTGTATGTTCCAACCGAGCCACCGGCCAGGGCTCTTCCTCCATTTTTAAATGGGGAAAATTCAAAGATAGAAATGGGGATGTGGGATGATGTATATGCATTAGACTTCTCTTCTCAAAAGGGAACAAGAAGTGGAAGAGATGTGACAGAGAAAACTGGGAGAGGAAGAATGTATTATGCTGCCTCCCACTTGTGTTATCACTACTTCTTCTTAGCCACCTGGGCCAACATGGGCTCCAGATTTCAGGAAGGGTATTCCCTGTCCATAGTCCTCCCACTCTGCCTACATTCTGCTGTTCTTAAATCACAGCTGACGTTCTGGGAAACAAATTAATTCATCAGGTCAATAAAATGCTGGAAGCTCTGGAGTTTGACCACCTCTGAATGTTGCCCATGGTCCACAGTGACAATGTTCACAACTAGATTTACACACGGGAGTGGTGGTGGGAAAGGGGAGACAGCCGATGGGCAGATGCTAAAGGACTTACATATCGCCTGCGCTGATAGTCATAATTTTCTGCAGGCCCCCAGTGTTTAGAAGGTCCCGGGCATTCTGGTAACTGTTCTGGGTTAAGTTGTTCAATGTGTAACAGGCAGAGGCTGTAGTTTCAATGAGAAGCTCAGTACTTGGAACTGTGTCAGGAATTATGGCAACCAAATCAGGTAGAGTTTCTTTGGCTACAAAATGAAAGAAAAAGAACACGTGTTTAAAAAGACTGTTTTTTAATCTCAAGATCCCAGTAAGTTTTGGGTAAAGAACATTTTAAAGAGAAAATACAGCATATGGAAAGATGTAACTTCTCTAATATTGGAGTTTTGAAAGGATTTTTAAAAAGATGATGCTGTTTGCTCAATACACTGGAAATCTTTTCAGAAAGGAATTTGATAGAAATAGCAAGAAATTTAAAAATTTTCACATTCTTTGTTTGACTCAGTAATTCCACTTCTAGAAATTCAAACTAAAGATATCACTTTAAAAATAGAAAAAGCTTTATGTAGAAATCTTTATTATAGCATTATGTATAAATGAAAAATTATAATAAGTCTAATATAATACATCTGCAAAGAATTTTATGTAAAATATATCTATGAAGCACACAAATAATAAGAAAATACTTATATTAATATTCTATATAAAAATCTATACTTATTTATATAAAGAATACATAATATTATAACATTAGGAAACAAAATACACATAAGAAATCTTAGAAGTAATACATTAAAATATTAATAGTTGTTTTTCTATAACAGTATTGATGGTGACCTAAGTATATTTAAAAAAATTATCTGCCCAAAGTTTCTTTAATACACAAATAATACTATCATTTTAAAAAGATAGATTATTTTAAATTTATTTTTCACTAACTATGCAAGTTCTTGGTAGCAGGGTTTTAGTTTGGCTTCTTTTGTAGAAACAAGAGCGGTAGTAATGGTTGATGATTTCATTATACCTTGCCCTATGGTATATATTTTGGACAGTATGAATTTATACTTGATTTTTTGCAATAATTATTTTCACAGATGCTTTCTCTTTTTCTCTAACTAGATTGGACTCTCCTTAAAAGATATGGAAGGGGAGGGTAGGAAGAGATCAACCAGCAAAAGCATATGCATATATGCATAACCCATAGTCATAGACAATAGGGTAGTGAAGGCCTTGGAGGGGCAAAGGGGGAGAAGGCAATGGGGGGAAAAAAGGTCATATGTAATACTTTCAACAATAAAGATTTATTTTAAAAAAAGATATGGAACATATTTCTCTTGCTGTTGTAGCTCCTCAGAGCTCTTTAATACAGTGTTGTGTTTATTGTAGTTTAAAACAAATACTTCTGCTTAATTTTATTATTTTTCATCTGAGTTTATGTGGCACCTTGAACTGTACTTCTCTCTCTATGAGTCTACATTGTGATCCGTTACATGAATTCCAGATGTGGCTACGGGTCCCTTGACGACAGTCATAGTATTCGTTTGCGGATGTCTATCTTCGACTGCCATGCCTATAACAGAGACCTTCGATAAAAGGAACTGAACAATGTCATCCTTTGATGACACCTGGGCCCCACTGACAGGAAAGGCATACCTTCTACTCCAAGGCCGGAACACTTCCTTTTTGACTGTGTTTCAGCATCGCAGCAGAGTGTGAAGGGCTTAGATCTCATCCTCCAAGGCCACACCTCTTTAGTTTCAGTCCTGTCTCTGCCACTTAATGGCTGTGTGGTCTGGGTCAGCTACTTAACCTCTCTATGCCTGGTTTTCCCTAATTTGTAAAGTGGGTGTGTAATAATAGTATTTACCTCACAGGGTTGTTTTGAGGGACTAAATAAGTTCACATGTGTTACTGCATCATAATACCCTGTGCCTAGTAAGCTCTCAACACAGATGAATTACTATGAGAAGGTTTCCTCTTTTTAATAAGTTACACCACAGAACTAAAGGCCTTGAGAACATGAAATTTCCTTCCACTGAATTTAGGTTGAAAACGTAAAAGTCAGTCTGTGACAATCACAACAGAAAATGCTCAGTCTCTCTGTAAGGTGCGGTGGTGGCTGCTGAGACCGGGGCTGCCCACAGTGAGAACAATCACTGATGAGTGACCCCACCTTTCCCCCTCACCACCACCAGCAAGTCCACTTCTGTAGATCAATTTTAAGGTGGAAAGGTAGGGTCACGTCTAAGGAGTGAGAATTAGAGAAGATAGAGTCTTTAACATTTTGTATCATGTTTGTTTTTCTTAGAAAATATAACTGTTTACATGACAATATAACTGTTTACACTACAATATAGAAAGGGTCTCTGTATTTCTCTTCCTCTCTTATTATAATACAAGAATAAATTCTTTTGTGTACTCACAACTGTAAACCTATTTTGCCCCACCCTGTGTTCTCTCTCTCTCTCTCTCTCTCTCACACACACACACACAGTGGGCCTCCATAAATACATTCACTCATTCACCCTGGGACAATTAAAATTGGATCTTTAATAGTGAAATCTAAAATTAAAGCCCTTATCATGATATAGGAAGGTTATAACTTAATGTCATAGCGTTGAGGGAGATTTTATGTACAGACAGTCCTCGGGTTACGTCGGACTCGAGGTTACATCACCATCTCCCATTTATTTATGAAAAAAAAAGTGCTGTCATTTCGACGTATGTACATATGTGCTCTATGTTTTTTATTATTTATTTGCCACAAGTAAAGGTCAGGAATTGTTATCTTTCTTTTAAATTTTTTTTACTGTTTCACTTCATTACTGCTGTGTATGTGCTCCATGTGAGTGACGTAGGTACTTATGTAGGTGGGTTCCGACTTATGGCGAAAATCGCCTTACATTGCACCGTAGGAACGGATCTCCGACGTAACCCAGGACCTACTGTAATGGCTAAAAACCCAAGCCAAGGCATGGATATTTGAAAATTCTGCAACCATGAATGAATGTGAATTGAGATCCTAGAGAAGTGTCCAAATACTTCCTGTTGCTTGCACATACTGTACGTTGTTACCTGATCCTGGGAAAACACTGTTAGGTAGCGATTACTAATCTCTCCCTGTTTGGAGCAGTTAAATGACCAGTCACGGTGACCTTGGTGGCACTGCAGGATGCAGGTCCATGTCCTCTGCAGGAGGCCTATTACTCCGTCACCGCACTAAGTTGTCTATTACATTTATTTCTTTAAATCTAAGTAACATGTGATGATTGCATTCTGGGCCAACACATGGAAAGTCTTACCTGGCCTTGAAGTCTCTCATGAGAAACACAAAACATGCATTTCAAAGTGATTTCATTTATTCCTGGCTATTAATACTCTGAACCAAGACAGGTCCTTTTACTCAAATTATACATTTGACATAAAGCCAATTTAAAATTTAAAAACTGTATTTATCTTGCTGAAGCCTCATCTCACTATTGCCCTTAACATGCGGGGCGGTTTATTAGTGAAATCATCTTCCATAAACTGTGGAGCTACCGCTTCATCTGCCCACAGTTGGAGGACGTGCGCCGAGACCTGCAGCACTTCTGCCTGGAAGGCACATGCATAATGTGTAGAGTTCAGTTATTTCATCAGCCAAGTTTTAAAGATGGAGTCAACGTTTTATTTGGGAAAAGAAAAAAAGTCAAAGGATTATACACCCAATTGAAGCGGAGCACAAAAGCCCACAGGAGACAATGGGAACACTCCCATAATGTTGAAAGTGCCGATGGCAAAGTTTCTTTTAGATCCACCGAAAAATTTCCAGGCTCGTTATATTTATAATGGGCATGAAACCACCTGTCCAGTGTTGGGCTGCCTCCTGCCTTTGGAAATGACATTATTAAAACATAACCACAGACTTCAGTATCTCTCATGCTGTGTGTGTGTGTGTGTGTGTGTGTGTGTGTGTAATTTTAGAATAATCCACTCCATTAAATAAACCCACAAAAATTTGTTTATAATTTTAGTGAAATGACTACTTTATAGAGCATTAGGAAGCATACTTAATTTTGACATTATCTTCCCATTATGTCATTTTATAGTTTTTTTACTTGATTCACAGTTATCAGACTTTTCTAAGTATTAAGCAAGTAAATAAAAGATTGTTATGTGATAGTGTAACATAGTTATCATCCTTGTCAATACAGACTTTCATAAAAAGGAGCAAATATGTTTCATTGTATTTATTCTAACACCAGCCAGGCTGAATCTTCTGCAGTAATTAAAATGAACAAACAGAGATGCTGGATATGAAGAAAAATCCTTGTGGAGACCCAGTTAGAAAGCCTACCCTTGATGCCTTGGTGCACAAAAGTCAGGCCTAGTTATCACATTTTGCTCTTTATTCACATTTTCAGCCCATCATTGTAAAAAGAATGCGATGACAATGTTTCATTGCATTTGTATTTCCAATACGGTCACACTACATGCAGCCATTCTTACTGACTCACCAATTTCATTGCACAGGGAAATGTTCCGAGACAGATTCCTCAGCAGGGAGACGGCGGTCTTTTTCACACTTGGGTCACCAACGTGCAGCATCTTCCGGGTGTGCTGCAGGCCGTTTTCCTTCTGGACCACGGTCTGCGCTACTGACATCGGCATCTGTTTTGTGGGACACATCCTATAAATACTATTGCATTTGACTTCACAATAACGCTGTTTCTGTCAATGGCTAGAGATTGAGTAAGACATTTTCAAAACTAGAACTGGGACTAAATCAGCCTAAAGATACTGTCTTTAAATCCTTATTAGGGTTTCAATTGAATTACTGGGTAAAAACAGTTTATGCAGTGTTTTTTAATATAGCATTGGGTTTGGTTAGCTACTATAATTTTTGCTTCTGTTTATAAATAAAATGGGCCTGTCTTTGCCTTTCCTTCCTGTTGATCAGTCCGCCCTTTATTCACAGTTTCAGTTCATCACTGTGAAATGAACATGATAAAGACAATGTTTTGGTATCACAGTTGTAGAATCAAAGTTACATTTATTTTTTAAAAAATATATTTTATTGATTTTTTACAGAGAGGAAGGGAGAGAGAGATAGAGAGTTAGAAACATCGATGAGAGAGAAACATCGACCAGCTGCCTCCTGCACATCTCCTACTGGGGATGTGCCCGCAACCCAGGTACATGCCCTTGACCGGAATCGAACCTGGGACCCTTCAGTCCGCAGGCTGACGCTCTATCCACTGAGCCAAACCGGTTTCGGCAAAGTTACATTTATTGGTTGTTGGCTTAGTCGTCTTTTCTGTTTCGTCTTGTTCAAATTTTTGCATTTTACATATTTTAATCAAGTTATTTGTTTCCAAAAATACAGTTTATTATGAAAGAGACACTGGGCTTTTAAAAAAAGAAATGCATTGCTAGTCAGAACATCTGTAAGTCTATGCTCTGTGTCAGAGGCTCATATGTTAGTTGTAGGACCAGGTCCTCTAGAGGCAAATCTCTAGAATTAGGCTGGTCGCCTGCTTTCACAGGGCATCTGAGTTCCGACTAGGCCCTTCCTAGCACCAGCAAACCTCCAACAATGCCAATGCCTGCTGGAAGCCGATCCACCCTTGCTGCTTGATGCAGTCGCTGCAGGGAAGAAACATCTGCACAGCTTATGTATCAAGGGACCTGGCGTATATGACATATGTTTGCTCCCCCTCTTAAGCGCTATGTGTTTTAACCAGGACCACCTCCTCGAGAAAGGTTGTTTCCCCAGGTTAGGGGTTAACAGGACTAAGGAAGAGAATAAATCAGTAAATCCCCCTAGTGTTACAGAAATACCATGTACTACTTATGAAGAACTTGGACTAAGACTGTTGGCAATAAATTTGGGACTTGTTGGGCCCACATCCCCAACAGGGGCCTGCCCACCAGGGAAAGCACCAAAGCCTATACCCCTGGAGAGCCACCGACACAGGGCAGTCCCAGGGAAGGCAAGCAGCGAGGCTGGGAGGACATACCCTTTACTGGGTAGGATAAACTCCTTCAGTCACTTCCTTGTAGCCTATCAGTAGAGCAGTGACCTTGAAATAGCCCTTGTAATGGAACACAGAGATTAACCTAGATAAGATTAAAATCAACAGAACTAGATAGAGACAGGATTTTTGGCTAAGGTCAGATAAGAAACAAGGAACTGTAGAAGGTTACCCAAAACATACCATGATGTAATTATAGAGGCATGCTTATAGGATCAAATAGTATAAATATAGATGTAAGAGGACACTAAAGGGAGAACCCAACTATGCTGATCACCTGAACGCTGCCTCCATGTCATTCCTTCTTCGCCGACTCCGTCCACACCTTTGGGAACCCCTGGACCTGCTGGGGCTGGACCCCAACAAATGCCTTAGCTTGTGTGTTGGCAACTTTATAGAGTTCTATTCGAAGCTAATTTGAGGTCACCATGCCAGAAATTTCTGCAATTCATGACCATTCTTCAGGGTGTATCTTCTCTGTTTATCTTATTCAAACACAGCTTGTTCCCCCCCTTCTACAGATTGCTGTCCTTACATTCTCCACTGTACCTTTTAGAACAGGGGCTCTTAAGATAGGGCCCAATATAGATTTCAGGGAGGGGACAGGTGGCTCTTAAAACTATTCTTGTGTTTATCTTTCTCAGGGAAAGGGTCCATAACTTTTATTAGATACTCGGTCTCCTTGACTCAAAAAAGTTCAATAACCACTGAGAAGAATACTCCCCTGTAGCTGTCTAGACAGGAGGCAATTTATTCTGTACAACCCCCATGTCTCAGGCACAGAGGTGGGCTTAGGATTCCTCTCTCTTCCCAATGGCTCATCTAGATATTTGTCTTCCCTCATATGCAAAACTCTGCTCTTCTGAGTCACTGCCATCCAGCTCTGTCACTCACACAGCATTTTCTTTGTCATCTCAAGACCTATTGGTCCTTTCCCAACATCCACTGGGGGCTTTAGAGCCTTCTCCTCCTCCTATCCGTCTATCCATTATAGATGACCACATCAATTACCTCACAGTTCCTAGGCTTCCTAAAGGTCAGTTAGAAACACAGGTTTATGGAGTGGATTTTTTCTGGAATTATGTATAATGGCTTGCTTCTCATGTTTTTCTATTCAGTGATTCTTTTTAGAAATTACAAAACCATATATTGTTTTTAATCACACCATCTAAGCATAACAAAAACCTAATATAGGTATGTCTATAATGGCATTACTTTACAAAGTAGGAAAACAGGCATGATACTCACTGGGCCACTTCCTGCCGTGAGATTCTGGAGAGCTCCCAAAGATGCTTCCTGGGTGTAGCTTCGGCCACTTTTGGCGATCAAGGACAAATACATCCGGGTCACGATGGAGTGCCACAGCCACTCCACACCCTTGGGGTTGCTCTTTTCCTCGAGCATCGGCATGTCCTGGTATTGCTAACCACACACACGATAAGATCTAGAATTAATGCCTTCAAGGGGTTTCTACAATTCCACACCCAAACCAAGAGACTAGGAACACTGACTGGTCTAGAGAGACTCATAATTTGTATAGTAAGAAGCCCCTGAAATGGAAATGCAAATGCAAATATGTATGATTCCCAATCACTTCACTTTTAGCCCATGATGACCATTTCTGCCTAGCAACATCCCTTACCCTCAACTTTCCATTTCACTGTGAGAAAGAACTCAGAGCATACAGCATAGGCTGCCTACTAGAACAGTTTCCAGGCTGCTGGTAAATGAAAAGCTAAATTAGGCACAAACGCTCTGAAGATAAGAAACACAGGCCTCTTCCCTCCGAGTCCAGTGAAGTGTCCGGGATCACATCAGGATTCTCCAAGTTCACAAACACCACGACACCCCGAGGAGTAGGAGAGGTCACATTCTTTCAGTTTCCATAAAATGCCAGTGTGAACAGTATTCCTTCCTACAGATTTGCGTTTAGGATGTCCGAAGTTTGTTTTTAGAATGTCCAAATCTGAATATCTGGGCTGTTTTTAAATGTTGAAACTATTTATATACCATTGGCCATGGTGCATTAAGCCTATTTCCTAAGCAACAGGACATAAAGCAGTACGGTTTTAATGGCTAACAATGCAAATCTAGAGCCGCATTGCCTGGAACTGAATCTCATCCCCTCTATTAATTTGCTGAATAATTCTGGGAAAACCGATTAACCTTTTTGTACCTCTATTTCCTCTTCAATATATAGGGTATTAATCATACACACATTGTAGGGTTGACGTAGGATGAAAAGAACTCAAAATAATGCCTGACATAAGGGGCGAGCAAAAGTAGGTCTACAATTGTTCATATGAAAATTAATTCAATAATTAACAAATAATAATACAAGAATAAACCCTATACTTTGTGTACTCACAACTGGAAACCTACTTTTGCCAACCCTAGTATACTAAGTACATGGAAATGTACATACATAACCACTTTTTCTTTCAAAGCCCTCCCAACATACCTCTTTTACTTTCCTGCTTCGATTGCCAAAACACCCAATACTTTTGTTGTTGTCCATCTGGATATTCCGGTTTTGAATATAGTTACTTTGGGAATATTTCTCTGGGAGCTCTGCCTCCAGCTGGTAGGAGAGGTTATGAAGAATGCACACACAGTTCTCTGTGGCCTGAGAAAACACAAATATTGATCAAATACATATAGACATCCCTTTGCAAGTGTGATATCACAGGACTTATTAGGCTTTAATCTTACAAGGTTTACTGGATGCTTGGACTATAGGGAACCTGGGGGAATAGAATGAGTATGGCCGGAAAGGCTAAGGCTAGACCATCAATGATCACAAACATAGTGCTAAGGCGCTGAGGCTGAATTTCTTAAAACATTGGCGAGCCCTTCTGGTTTACTTCTTAGAGTGGGTTCAGAATGACTCGGCATTTTGTGTATATAACTTAGTAGCCATGTGGAATTAGAAAACAGGAGGAGATGTTGTTTGTAGGGGCCAATCAGGAGCCAATTGCAATAATCAATATGAAAGTTGCACAAACTAGGACCGCAGAGGTAGGCAGCATTAGAGAGGAATGATGAACCAAAAGGCATTTCACAGGAAGAATGGACATGACTTATTGCTGTGGGATGTGAGGAGAGGCAGTGAGACATTACCCATATTTCTGTTTTTATTTGGTGGATGGTGGTGATTATGAAGAAAGATTACACAGAGAAGGAGCAAGTTTGGGAGGAGGGAAGGGATGAATTTAAGTTCATTGCTGAACATGGAGCATTTGGGCTCCTTTCAAATATCTATGCAGAGTTGTTAAAGGGATAGTTGGAATTTAAGTCTGGAAAATAGAAAAAAATGGGGTTTGATATATTTTAATATTTTTAAGTGTGTACGGGAAATCCTCAGCTCAGTGAATGAGGTAAGGAATAAAATTAAACCCAAACTACTACTTCAAGAATACTCTGAAGAGTCTTAGTAAGACAAAATAATTCAACGTGTAAGATATTTAACTCTTGCATCACCTTGTCGTCTGGCTGGTAATCTGCAATGGTTCCTCTGACATAATGGACCAGTGAATCAATCAGTCCATCACACCGTCTCATCACTTTCCTCCCATCAGGGCCAGCCGAACTCATGTTTCTATCAGGAAAAACAAACAAACAAAAAGCCATCAGGCATAGGACATGTATCCAATAGGCCTCTGTTTCAAAGCTTTACTTGATGCTTCTTCCAAGAGTTTGGAAAACTAGCAAATTTGTCAAAGAGTGACAGTCTTGCCCTGTGGTCTCCATCAGTTGTTCAGTGGTCATTAAATCTGGACACAGCTTCTAAATATATTCATACTAGAGGCCCGGTGTACGAAATTCATGCACAGGATCGGCAGCGGGGGGAGGGGGGTCCCTCAGTCTGGCCTGCACCTTCTCTAATCTGGGACTCCTTGGGGGATGTCCGATATCCCTCTCGCAATCTGAGACTGCTGGCTCCTAACCGCTCACCTGCCTGCCTGGCTGATCGCCCCTAACTGCTCTCCCCTGCCAGCTTGATCACTCCTAACTGCTCTCCCCTGTTGGCCTGATTGCCCCTAACTGCTCTCCCCTGCCACCCCTAACCGCCTCTGCCTTAGCTCCTGCCACCGTGGCTTTGTCCAGAAGGATGTCCGGACTAATTAGCATATTACCCTTTTATTAGTATAGATAACATGTCACCATCAATAAAAGTCTCTGCTTCATTCCAAGCACCAAGATCATAGCATTATTTACTTAATCTTCACCCATTTTTGAGAGGGTACTCATATGAGCCAAAGATTTTGCAATTAAAAGGACAAATGACAAAACAGACATTGTGTAGTAGGTTAGCCAAGTCCCAACTTGCTCTGTGACTTAACTCCAAGGTACAGAGAGTTACTTAAATTTATTAGGCCTCAGTTTCCTCATTTATAAAGATAGGGTGCTGGACTCTTATTATTTGGGGTTTTTTGTAGGTTTCAGTGTAAACTGTTATTGACAAATATTAAACCAAATGCACTAAGATGTGATTATTCTATAACTAAAATGGCAGATAGTCATGAAAAATGCAGGGTTTCACAGTGTGTTCGACCTAAGTAAAAAAACATGACCTATAAATATCTTTGCACTTAGTCTATTTCTAATTTTGCTAAGCTATGACACCTTTCTATAAACAGTAACTAAATCCACAAGCAGAGATTGTTTCCTAATAGAGAAATAAAGTGTATCAAATATAGGAAAGTAATGCATTTGGGAATCATGTTTCAGATTCAGACCATGTTGATATTCAGGTATTATTATTACCATGTTCCTTTGGATTAAGTTTTTCTTGTTAGCATTAACCATTAAAAAATATCGCCACCCCAAATGTTAACCTTCTCGTCAACAAAAATGGCAAAAGATTAATGCCTTTTGCCAACTTCAATTGCTAAGAACTATTACTATAAAATTTATCAGACTAGTTCCTTTTACTGGTAGGCAGAATATTCAAAGCACATTGAAGACTTATTTATAATGTTTCAATGTCATTCTGAACATCAAAAGAACTATAATTCTAAGAACTTTTGGGGTCTTATTTTCTTCATTTTAAAAAATAATATATTGCTCTAAGTAATTTCAAAAAGACTTTCTGCTCCCAAATACTACTTTCAATTCATAATGTCATAATGTCATAATGTCAAAGAACAAATGTGTCTGGTATTATAGCAAGAACTAAAGGCCATGGAGATGACATCTATAGGGTGAAACTGATGATGCCTGACTGTTTTTAACCAACAAAAATGCAATTTCATGATTCAACCTAATAGTTGAGGAGATAAGACTAATACACCTAAAACTAAGGATACTGACAACTCAATGGTTGCTGAATTGATACAACCAATTTTTTATTTTAACAAATTCCCTTCTGTGACCTCAGTTCTCTTTTGAAATTTCTAATTAAAGATTCACTTCCTTACTTAATTTTCACTATACCTGAAAACCTTTGACACTTAAAAAAATCCTCATCTGAAGAGAGAGGAAGGGAGGGAGAGGTTTGCGGGGAGAGGAGAGAAACTGGGATCAAACCCACAATTCAGGTATGTGCCCTGACCAGGAATCAAACCAGCCACCTATTGGTGCACTGGACAATGTTCACTCCAGTCAGGCAAAACTTTGATATTTGGTACATTAAAAAAGATAATGAGGAGAAACCAAGATGGCGGCATAGGTAAACACCTGAAACTGCTGCCTCGCACAACCACTTCAAAACTACAACTAAAAGACAAAACGGACATTATCCAGAACCACAGGAAGGCAGGCTGAGTGGAAATTCTACAACTAGAAGGAAAGAGAAAAGCACACTGAGACTCAGAGGAGGTGTGGAAGTAAAGTGCAGAGGTATGGAGGTGCACTCGGAAAGGGCTGGCAACTGAGGACACGGTTGTCTTTTTCAATCGGGAAGGAGTCTCAAGCTCCTGACTGCTCTGAACTCTAGTTCCGGGTGAGTCTCTGGGGAGAAACTGGACAGTCTGGCATCGGTTGGAACTCGAGGGCAGCTTTCTCTCAGAGGTGTTTGCAGTGATTACTGCGGGACACTGAGACCTGGGGCCTCTTAGGGCAGGGCTAAGGATCATCCATAGCTGTTTGCTCCGCCCTGTTGACTCCCTGAGACCCCGTCCCACCCAAGCTATGTGCAGAGGCTTTTGCATATGAATGGCCTGGCCCTTTGCAATCTAAAATTACCTAACAAACTGCAGCTGGGTCAGAGACACCCAGAACATCCAAAAGAAGGCCCAAAGCCCCACAGCAGCTTGCATTGCTTCACAGCTGGGCCTCATCTGGGCACCTCAAAACCCCAAACAAAGAAGAGGAATCTGCAGATCTCTCTGTAGCTCCTGCTGGGTAGCCTCAGGCAGAGGCTAAATTAGCACCTCCTTAGAGATCCAAGAGCCAGTGTATCCAGTGGTCAAAGTGGGACCATCCAGATTACAACTCCTCAGATCCATAAGGGACACACTCAGGGGGCAGACTCAGTGAGCACCAAAGCCCCACTGAAGCAAGTCTTGCCCCATAAGAGTGTCTCCAGCACACAAGTTCTCCCACTGCAGACACAGCTGATTCTCACAGCCAATTGGCCTGGAGGTCAATTCCTCCCAGTGATACCAACAACAATCAAGGCTTAACTACAACAAGACTGTGCACAAAGCCCACAAAGGGGTGCACCAAGAGTGTCCACCTCAGGTAATTGGGGAGGCTGAGCAACTGGGCCCTATAGGACACCTAGCACACAAAGCCACTCTATCAACACAGGGAAGCAGCCAAAATGCAGAGACAAAGAAACAGATCACAAATGACAGAAATGAAGGAAAGCAAACTACTGGATATAGAGTTCAAAACCAGGTTATAAGGTTTTTCAAAAATTTTCTAAAACTGCCGATAAATTTAGTGAGACCCTCGATAAATCTAGAGAGACCCTCGAGGATATGAAAAAGGACCAACTAGAAATTAAGCATACACTGACTGAAATAAAGAATAATATACAGAGATCCAACAGCAGACTAGAGGATCACAAGAATCAAGTCAAAGATTTGAAATACGAAGAAGCAAGAAACAATCAACCGGAAAAGCAAAAAGCAAAAGAATCCAAAAATATGAAGATAGTGTAAGGAGCCTCTGGGACAACTTCAAGCATACCACCATCTGACTTATGGAGGTGCCAGAAGAGAACAAGATATTGAAAACCTATTTGAAGAAATAATGACAGAAAACTTCCCCTACTTGGTGAAAGAAATAGACTTACAAGTCCAGGAAGTGCAGAGAACCCCAAACAAAAGGAATCCAAAGAGGACCACACCAAGACACATCATAATTAAAATGTCAAGAGCAAAAGACAAAGAGAGAATCTTAAAAGCAGCAAGAGAAAAACAGTTAGTTACCTACAAGGGAGTACCCATATGATTGTCAGCTGATTTCTCAACAAAAACTATGCAGGCCAGAAGGGAGTGGCAAGAAATATTCAAAGTGATGAATAGCAAGAACCTACAACCAAGATTACTTTACCCACAAAGCTATCATTCAGAATTGAAGGTCAGATAAAGAGCTTCACAGATGAGAAAAAGCTAAAGTAGTTCATCACCACCAAACCAGTATTATATGAAATGCTGAAAGGTATTCTTTAAGAAGAGGAAGAAGAAGAAAAAGGTAAAGATAAAAATTATGAACAACAAATACATACCTATCAACTGAATCTAAAAATCAAGTGAATAAATAATCTGATGAACAGAATAAACTTGTGAATATAATAGAATCAGGGGCATAGAAAAAGATTGGACTGACAATTCTTGGGGGGAAAGGGGTGTGGGGGGTGCTGGAGGAGACTGGACAAAAATGGTACACCTATGGATGAGGACAGTGGGGGGGTAGTGGTAAGGGCAGAGGGTGGGGTGGGAACCGGGTGGAGGGGAGCTATGGGGGGGGGGGGAAGAGGAACAACTGTAATAATCTGAATAATAAAGATTTAATAAAAAAAAGATAATGACTGGGTTCATAACCTGTTAATAAAACCATTTTACTGTATTTTTTTTCAAGAAATGATCATTTGAACTAAGATCCTCTATCTACTCTCTGAGCCTGTCTACTTATTTTACACATGGAAAAACTGAGGTCCACAGAGTGTAGGTTACTTTTCCAGGTAACAGCAATAGTGGTCAAGTCAGGAATCGGAGAGCTGGTCTTTATTCTGTGCTCTGGGTTGCTCCAGAGTGGAGCAAAGCTCATCTGACATTCATTCAGTCTGGCATTTGCTTAGCAAATACCACACATCCCCAATTCCAAGACAATGTTATCACGTTTTAAAGCTCCCCTTTGACCTTTTCAACTCCTGGCTTAGAAAAATGGCAGTATTTTAAGAATGCTTTGACAAATCAAAGATCTGTCTTTCTCACTAGCTAAATCCACTACATACCTTACAGAAGGATGGCTTAGCTTTGTTCAACTTCAGGGTGTTTATTTTGGGTGGGAATGGTAATTCAGTTTGGCAGCACTGACAGTTCACACGCACTAACTGTTGTCTTGTAGTTTGGTATTATCCAGACTCTCCTGGCTTGAAACAGGACTTATCAGGGATTCCTGGCAGTTGATACTTTTGCTGACAGA